TTTACTTTGGATACTTTGGAGCTCCGTATTCAGTCGTCCGAGTCGGCAGGTTGCGTAACTTGTCTTCTCGGGCGACGCGGAGACGGCGTGGCCGTACACTGGTTCCGCCATAAGCTGCGTCGTTGAGCCGTTGTTCTCCAGTCGGGGCCGGCCTTCCGAGTGATGTACTGGTCCCACCGGGTCGGTTTGCCCCATCTCGGCGGCGGCTTCCTGTTGGGGTTCCAGTTTGTGGCTGCGACTGTCCAACGGCCGTCTTCTCTTCTCGCGACATGGCCTGCCCACGAGAGTTTTCGACGGTTTGCCTCTTCGATTGCTCCTTTGAAGCGGGTTTCTGCGCGGATGTCTTCGTTTCTCCTGCAGTCCCACATGGTGAGGCCGAGCGTTCTTCGTTCCATCGCGTGCTGCGTAGACCGAAGTCTGTTTGCGAGCGATGTTGTCAGCGTCCACGTTTCACAACCGTAGATAAGAGCTGGAAGCACCGTCGAGTTGAAGAGTTGAGCTCGTTTGTCTACGTCCGTCAGCTTCTTCAGGACGTCGCTAATGCTGTTGAAGGCGCACCACCCCGCCTTTATTCTTCGTCCGATCTCGCCCTTCAGTCCTTGCTGGTGGTCTTGCGAGAGTTCCTGGCCAAGGTAGACGTACTTTTGTACCCGCTCGATTTCTTCGTTCCCGAGGTGGATGCGCTCATTTGTCTTGAAGTACTCCATCCATTTGGTCTTAGAGCGGTTGATGCGCAGCCCGACGGATTCGCTGGCTCTGTTGAGCTCAGTCAGTCTGCCTTCGACGTCCTTCTTCGTATTGCCGATCAGCACGATATCGTCCGCGAAACGTAAGTGAGTGAGTCGTCTGCCGTCGATTGTGATGCCGCAGTTGCTCCGGTCTTCCCATCTGAGTTCTTTGAAGATCTCTTCCAGGGCAGCAGTGAAGAGTTTCGGAGAGATGGTGTCTCCTTGACGGACTCCGCGGCGTATGGGAATGTTGATGGCGTCGTGGAAGAGTTTGATCTCGGTCGTGCAGCCCTCGTACACGTCTTCCAGCACGTCTATGTAGCTCTGATCGACGCCTTGCCGTGTGAGTGCGTTTAGTACTGCGTTGATCTCGATGGAGTCGAACGCCTTCTCGTAATCAATGAAGACGAGGTACAGCCGCATACCTTTCTCGCGTGCCCTCTCCTGGATCTGGTTCAGCGTCTGCATGTGGTCAGAGGTCGAGAAACCGCTTCGGAACCCGGCCTGCTCTGGTGGCTGGGCTGCGTCCAGTTGCTCGGTAATCCGGTTTAGGACGACCTTCGTGAACAGCTTATAGATCACTGGTAATAGGCAGATCGGTCGGTAGTTCTTTAGGTCCTCCGTGTCGCCTTTCTTGTGGAGCAGGACGGTCTTGGATTCTTTCCACTTCAGCGGTATCCGTCGAGTACGGAGACAGAGCGTGAACAGCTTTGCGATGCGCTTCCACAGGAGAGGTCCGCCCTTCTTCAGCATCTCGGCTGTGATGCCGTCCGGTCCAGGCGCTTTCCCGTTTTTGAACTTCTTCAGCGCGGCTTCCACTTCAAGGTTGGTGACGGGAAGCGGGGCCGTCCGTTCCGCTAAGCCTTCTTCGGTCCTCTCTACTGCTACTTTGCTGTCGAAGAGCGTCGTGTAGAAGCGGCGACATACTTCTTCGATGGCCTCCCTCTCCGTCTGCAATTCGCCTTCTTCGTCGCGCAGCGCTCCTGCTATCTGCCTGGTTTGCGCTAAGTTTCTCCGGCACTTCTTCAGGCTTTGGCGAGCTTCGGCGGTCTCGACTAACCTTCGGTTTCGGTAGTCGTTGTAGTCTTGTGCAAGGCGTTCTCGGACAACGTGGCTCAGCCTGCGGCATTCATCCGGCTCTTTTGACTCTTGTTTAAGCTGCTGTAGCCGTCTCATCAGCGCTCGGGTTTCATCCGTTATTCTTGGTTCCCGGCATGCGGCACGTCTCACCTCCGACTCCTTTACGCACTCGAGGAGCGTAGTCTCCAGGGCCTCGTAGTGCTCGTTGACGCGTTGGTCGCCTTCCACTTTCCAGTCGGCCACAGCGATTTTCCTCTGGAGTAAACTCTCCGATATCGTTGTCGGTAGCTTCCGTTTTGCCGCAAGTGCCTTGTCTCGCTTCATCTTTGGCAGGTCGAGGTTTAGCGTCGCTCGGACGATTTTGTGGTCGCTGCGGGCCTCGAATCTCGTTAGCATCTCGACGTTTAGTACGCAGCTTTTGTCATCGCAGAGGATGTAGTCGAGCTCCGAGCGCGTCACGCCGTCTGCTGACTGCCAGGTCCATCGCTTCCTTCTGGGCTTCTGGTAGAAGCTGTTCATCACGTACAGCTTGTTGGCTTCGGCGAAGGTGACCATGCGCTGTCCGGCCTCGTTGCGCTCTTCCGCACTGAACTTTCCTATGTATCGCTCGCCGGCTTCGCCAATGCCTGTTCGCGCGTTGAAGTCGCCCATGACGATCGTCCGGCACGACGGTTCCGCCATCGCGGCCTGCAGGTCTAGGTAGAACTGGTCGTGGTCTGCGTCCGCGTATCCGCTGTGTGGGGCGTACACCTGCACGATCTTGATCGGCGCTCGCTGGCCCGGTGTTTTCAGCTTCAGGATGCCGATGCGGCTAGAGGGGAAGCTAACCGAGTGGACTCTGCCAGCGATGCTGCTGTGCACGATGAAGCCCACCCCGCCGATGGTGCTGTTGTTCTGTCCCGCGTCACTGCTACCGAGCAAGATTTCAGCGCCTGAGAGCTTTCCCTTCGGCCACGTGTACTGCTGGGCCTTCGTGGTGTGCGTCTCCGCCAGGCCGATTACTTCGAAGTTTATCAGCTCCACTGCGTCCATAATCTCGTTGAGCCGGTATCCGTTGGAGTTGATTTTGTCGGTCCCGCCCGCTCCGCTTTGTCCGAGGTTGAACGTGGCGAAGCGTAGCTTGTGTGCGCGGCATCGATGAAGCATCTTTTGTTCTGCAGGTGTGGTGGCAGCTCTCCCCTGCGTTGCCGCGCGGCCGCAGCTTCGAACTGCTCCGGGACCCTCGGTTCCAGTGTGTTTTCCAGGTTTTTCGGCTTCGTCCGGGTGGCTTGGGAGGCCCGACGGATATAGGAAGGTGTTAGCTTCCGGGATCTTGGACGGCTTGCATGACTTCCGGGATACATGACTTACGGGGTGGCGTGCGTGTTTGGTTTAGAGTTGCGTCCCTTCAAGCCGAGTCTTAGCCATCCACGCACTAGCCGAGAGACTAAGCGGGGCTACTTTATGAAGTATACGCAGAACGCTGACAACACAGTTTGCTTCTTTTTGTATGACCCGCTTTGCCATGAAAACCAAAACAAAGCGTCATTTAAACTAACACAAGTTCCGTGGAGGCATCTATTGTACCCAAAATGTCAGCGCAATAGTGCGACCTAGTCTCCGAGAATCCCCCGCTACGAAGTCCATATTGCCTATTATAGACACTTGGAAACAAGCAACGGTTTATTAGTTCTTTCAACAACGTACAAAATAAGCAAGAGTTTAACGGCGGCGGTGTCCACCCTTTCGCGCTTCTTTGGCCTTCGGCGGGAGAATGACTCCGTCGTACTAAATGAAAGCAGTTAGATCGGCAAACAAAGAGCTGAATCCATTAAGGTACTAAGGTAGCTTCCGGATTAGAGTCAAACAGTGAACCTTTAGCCCATTAAAATATTGTGCAGTAGCTGCGCGTACCTTTTGTTGGAACCACTTGACGGCCTCCTCCTTGCCGACGCGGTGCGACGCTCCGACGCGGTTGGTTGTGCGCCTGCGCTTCGCAACGCGGCGACCAGCGCGGTCGAGGACCACGTAGAAGTCCATGCCGTAGATACCGATGGACGGGTCGTACTTGATGCCGAGATCGATGTGCTCCTGGATGCCGAAGCCGAAGTTGCCGGTGTCCGAGAAGTTCTCGCGGTACAACTCGTATTCCTTCACCTACAAACCGGGTCTTTAGGAATATGCTTTATAGGAGGTATTACCCAGACCGAGGTCCAAGACATTTTGGCTATATCCCTTACCTTGAGGCCGCGATCGATGATCTCCTCGGCCTTGGGACCACGGACCGTGCAGTGGACGGCGATCTTCTCGTTACGGCGGATGCCGAAAGAGCGCACCGTGTAACGGGCCTTGGACAGCACGGGGGTTTGACCGGTCAGCTGCTCAAGCACCTAAAAGAACAAAGTCACCCTTGCATAAATTTATCTTGCTTTTCTGCACATGTGCTGCCGCTGAAAAAAACTAGCATGTGCTTAGTATACGAAAGTTCTCGTGAACTAGGTTAATGTGGGTAAAAT